TATATAGCTATTAACTCCATTTTCGACCTATAATGGACTCTTTCTCCTATCTGAAAGGCCGTAAAACTAGATTTCCCCCATAGCTTTTGTTATATATATTTTTTTTAATGCAGTTTCAGATATCACGCAACGTCTTATAAAATTACCAATAATATAAATATAAATTTTATTTTTTTAGAATATTGGTGTGAAAAATATTTTTTTAGACTTTCTATATTAATTCATAGCTAAAAATAGATTATTTTATCAATTTTTGCATACATAATTTTTGTTAAAAGTGTGAACATTTAAAAAATTTCCCCTTAAAAGTTCATATCAGTTTCATACCTTTTGGTTTCATAATTATAGTTACAATTAGTAACGTTATTGGTAATTCTATGTTAGTATTTATCAGAAAAACACATAAATATGTGATATTTAAAATAACTCGCTGCAGTAATTTAATAATGAAAAAGCTTTAGCCATTATTTAGTTTCAGATCATATTGTATTTATTTATTCTTTCAACCTTGTTTTAATAAAGCTACAGTTCTTTTGGAAGCTCCAAATATATTTGTTATTACGGTATTTAAGTCATAATTATGTATTTTGAACTGTTTTTTTTTAAAAAAAAACAAACAATGATAATAAATTTGAAGAAGAAATATTTTCAACACCAGCATTCTAACGAAATAAAAATTGAAATTTATGTGATCGCTCATTTTATTGGACGTTGTGTGATATCTGAAACTGCACTTCAAAAATATAACGAAAGCCATGGGTGGAATCCAGTTTTACGACTTTCGAGATAGGAGAAAAGAGTCCATTATAGGTCGAAAATTGAGTTAATAGCTCTATTGGATTGCTCAAAGGGCGTGCCAAAAGTAATACTGGTGTATTTTGGAATTTCCAACTAAAAATAGTTACTAAGTGTCCTCGGTGCTCGTTTAAAGAAGAGGAAAATCTTGCTCAAGAACAGCAATTTCCTGCAAATACTTCATTTTCCGGGTTATATTAACATAATTATAGATATTGAAAGCACAAATACATGATAGATGTATATTTGGAAATAATACCAGCAATACAAATATTGATTATGTTAAAAATGTATTTAATTTCAAAGATTTGAAAATAAATCTAATTTATAAGCATCATATTAGCATAGTTTAACCCATTTAGAGTAAATAAATCGGAATACTACATCATCAATAATATTTTTGACTCAACGTTTCAATCAGAATATTAATATCAAAATAAATTATTTAGAACATAAAATCAGAACATATCAGAACATTATCAGAACATTCCTTTAAAGGAACATTATATGAGTTTATCAGAGCATAATATATATAAAAGTTATAAGATATAAGTCAGAATGTAAGATATAATTCAGAACGTCAAATATATGGTATCAATGAATTATCAGTATATCTAATATATATCAGAACAATGATTTGCCAGAATATGAGTCACATAAGTGAATCAATTATGAGAATGAGTTATACATAAGTTCATTATCAGAATATCAGATGTATGATTAACGAATTGTCCACATGCCGGATACTTAAGATCTATCAGGAATTATCTATTTATCAAAAAAAAATACTTACATACAAGCTTTTCCTCCAGACTACCTCTCGACGTTACCGATAAGGCTCGGATGAATTCCTCAAATTCAATTGCACCATCCTTCAAACAAAAATATTAAAGAATGAATGTCTATATTAAATACAATATTTGAATGCATCACTTAGGGCAGAGGTCGCCAAAGTGGTCTATATAGACCCCCAGGGGTCTATTTAACGAAAGCGGGGGTCGATCTGAGACAGGGGGGTGAATGGGGGTCGATCCGAATCGGAAGGGTCGATTGTGAGTTTAAAAAAAAAATAGTTCTCAATACGCAAATCACACATACCTAATTAAGTATGTAAAATTTGTGAATTTTTTTTAAAATTGACTCAATATCAGTTTCTTTATAAAACATAAATTAATAAACATATATTTATTGGGGTGAAACAAGTATTTACGTTCCACCGCGCAGTGGCACGAACTCAGCGCAGTTTATAAGTCATATGCATATGTGCGCTTGTCCAAATGTCACGTGTGACGAGCATTGACGTTACAAATGCAAATATCATACGCAGTTTCAGCTATCTTTGCAAACTGTGTTGAATATTTGCAGTGTCATTATTAAAGGTTTTATAGTTTTGGATAATTAGTTATTGTTTCGATAAAACCATTCGTTTGGTTTAGATATCAATTTTAATTATCAATGCACAAAAAAGATGGTAAGCTTTAATAATATGGATTAGTACAGCCCGCGACAAAACTATAGCACACTTTGTATTTTTTTACGAAAATTACAAAATTGACCAATTTTTGTAAATATCAATATTAATATATTTTTCATAAAACTATTGTTACACAATGTACTATTACTTTAATAAATGTTTAAAATCATAAAATAAATGTACAAACACAGTATCTAATAGAGTTTTATTTTAATTAACAGAAAATTACGTTTGTAGGGGTCGATGGAGATTTCGAAAAATTATACAGGGGTCGATGATCAAAAAAGTTTGGCAACCCCTGACTTAGGGCATCAAGCTGACCGCTCATCTCTAAGCCATTAATGAATCTCTTTATCGGTAAATTTATAATAGCATATTTATATAATTTACACCAAAAAATAATTATTGTAGGACGTTAATAAGTTTTGATACAGATTCAAATAAGTTTACCTTAATATCACTGAATTACGTTATAATAAAGTAACAACTTTTCTTAGTTTTAAACTCTTAATTTAGAGAAGAAAATATAATTACAAACACAATAATCGTGGAGTAAAATAATAAAAATAAATATTGTAGATAAGATTTAAATTTGGAATACAAAAAATATTTCGCTGCAGAGTAACAATACTTCATGAATTTTAATAATTCCATACTGATCATAACTCAAAAATATAGAAATTAATGTGGAAAAACTGGATGCCATTATCTGACTAATAAGAATGTACCGACAACAATGGAAAACCGTGGGCAGAAATAAATGTTTACATGTAGTTAAATATAAATTCTGCATATATATGCAGTGTATATGCATTAAACACATATGATAGTGGTATTGAGAATAAGGTGATTTATATGAATACTAAGGTCAACAGTAAATAAAATGATTTTCTTAAGATAAAATAAAAAATTCATTTCAGAAAATATTTTTGAGAAAAGTACGTTAGTATTGAATCTCGTATTCATTTTGGTTTAAAGGGTTTTGATACAGATTCATATTATTAAATGACAATTTCTGGAGAAAAAAAGTAGAATAAATAAGAGGGTGATCCAAATTATAGACTAACCATCAATCAACAGTATAAAGATGATAATGTATGATGAAGAACATCAACTTACACTGTAGAAACTGGTTGATTACCTTAGCTGAGAATTATAACACACTACAGTTTAAACCAGTTGGTTACTGGTTCTGTCTTCTCTTACCACCTCAAGATACTTCCATTTCATTGGATGAAATTTGAATTCCTGAGAGAATTTTACTTATGGATCTACAGAGAGCAATACAATTTATTTCTCACCCTAGAAGACTCTATTAGTTAACTAAAATGCCGCATTTGTAGGTAAACACGTGATTTGAAGAAGCACAACTTAGCCCTATCCTAATTCTTTAATGCCACGGTAGAGAACTGCACTGCCATCATCACAACATTTACTCTTGAAATAATCATGGAATCTCACTTAACAAATCCCTCGCAATTCAGTTACGTGTGCGAGTGCTTTTTAACTCAGTTCTGAAGATAATAAATTAAAAATGTGTATCCGTTTTCTTGAAACAAGAGCAATATAACTAAGTATTTTAGTAGTCTTAATATAGTAAGCCATGAATTACTGAATCATGAGAAAATTCTTTCAGCACATAAGTTTAAGCGTTCTTTCAGTAAATTGAATTATTTGTTGGATATATTACGTACACAGATAAAAGTAAGGGAGAGAATGCTCAGTTAATATGAAGTTTATGACCTTGGTTTAAAAAAAGCATATTCACTGGAAACAGGAATCAAGTCACAGACGTGCGTTATACTGACACTCCTAGGTACCTAATAGGAGTTTCTTTACTTACCCGTTTTTCACTCTTAAAGTTTCGCGTGAGACGTAAGTTAATTTCTTTTTATTTAAGAATGTCTCATATTTGTACCACATTTTGAAGACCCATTATTCTTCCCTTTTATGCTTGCTTAAAACATAATTTCAAGCATATTCTTTACTGTTTAAAAATGTCTCATATTTGTCCCACACTTTGCCGATCCATATTTCTTCTCTCTTTTATGTTTGCGTCAAACATAAGTTTAAGCATATTTCTTCTTTCTTAAGAATGTATTGTAATGTTTTTTCATATCTTGAATTTAGTGCAGTATATATATCTCCGTTTCTCGTGATATTCAACTGCAATCCATTTTTTTATGAATTGGCATATTCTAGAATTTCTTTTATAAGATTAAAACCTCTTGTTACAGAAAAGTACTCCTTAAAACACTCATTTATGCATTTAAAAAAATGCTAATATTCAAACAAAACAAACTAGTTTATAACACCAAGGTGAAATATCAGCTACGGAGAAACGTCGCCACATAACATTTGGCGTCATCAATGTATAATGAATTAGAAATAATTATAAATGATACCAATAAAAAAAAGTTTATTTTATGCTAATAATATTACTATTAAGTGCGTTTAATTACTAGTTTTTTGCACTTTTCTTTAAAAAAAATTAATGTAAGTGTAAAATGGAAACATGATTCGCATACAAAAATTAAATAATAGCACCCCAAATTAGCTTTAGACATTTTTTATGTCTTCTTTCTATAAATTTTTTATGTCTTAATTCATTATACGACATTAAAACAAATATTTTTGCATGAAGTCTTATAAACATATTTTTTTGCTCATTAGAATTTTTAGACACGTTCTTGCCATAAAATATTCCCAAAATCTATAAAATAATTAAAATTAATTTCCATATTCATGATATAAGATTATACAAAAATATTAAACTAATTAACAAAAACTAGATATCAGTACAATAGTTTAGTTGAAGCAATAAACTGTTCATTTTTGATGTTACCCACCTTAAAACCTGTCAAAAAAAACTTTATTTATTTTTGACCTTTCTCAATTTTAAATATTCACAAATTGAGAAGATTTTGGGTAAAGTGTGCTCATTAATTTCAGCTCCAAACTAGTTCTGCATAGTGCAATAATTCTCCAAAGACCCATTAGTTAGTCGTTACCGAAAGGTTTAAAGCTCGTTAGCTATTGGGTAAGGGTCATTAATCGGCCAATGGGATTCCATGTTTGCATCTCCCGTTAGTGGCGTTGCTCGGATCCAAATCACATAACCGCATTATTAAACCTTCGTTTTAAGTGATAAAGTTTAGCACGTTTGTTTGTTTCTCTCAATTGCATTAGTTATTAGAAGTATCACCAATGATTACTTAAGACTTACCTTATTTTCGTCAAAGACTCTAAAGACTAAAGAGGCAAATTTGGAAGGATCCCCCTGGGGGAAGAACTGTTTATATATCCGTAGAAAACCCTGAAATAAATAACAAAAATGGTACTTTATTTCACGTCTTTCAATATCCAATTCATTGTATTAAAATTGGAACTCATTAAAACATGTTTTGAAATTTAGAAACTTTTGTTACTCTCTCACATACAATTTTATTATTTTTCTCTCTCTATTACAATTAAAAAAATATCTGAGCACCACTGTATCTGCTGTTATGGGTATTCAGACTCAACATTACATTACATTTCGTGCTCCATAAAAATGAATTAGACTTAGATACTTAAAATTGCGGTGGTTTGTATAAAATGAACTGGAAGTACGATGAAATAAATGTTGAAGTTTTCGACAATTAGTTAGAGAACTATTACTATTCGATAATATCCGATTCGATTCTATATTACTATTCGATTCCATATTACTATTCGATTCTATATTACTATTTGATTCTATATTACTACTCGATTCTATATTACTATATTACTATTCGATTTTATATTACTATATTACTATTCGATTCGATATTACTATATTACCATATTACTATTCGATTCGATATTACTATATTACCATATTACTATTCGATTCTATATTACTATATTACCATATTACTATCCGATATTACTATTCGAGAATTCCATAATAGTTCGAGAGTTATTATGCTTCTGTAATATTTTGAAAAAAAGGAATTACGATATATTCAGACAAAATAGATATTAGGTTGGAAAGAGAAAAATATGTCAAAAAAAACTTAAACTTTTAGAGCATTTGTGAACAATATTTTATTTCTTTGGACGAAATAATTCCCAAATAAGTTTAAAACAAAAGTCACTTTCTGAAAAAGCCAGACTAAATTTAAAATTTATCAAAAATACTTGTAAAAAAAGTTATTCGATAAATTCTATTATTAAATTTCATTTTATTTTAAATCTTTAAATGAATAAATGTATTGTTATTTTTTATTCTTTTAATTACATTGTTCATTTTTAAGGTGATACACATGTGTATATTTTCATGCTATTGTTTATACGGATATTTTATTTTTATTATTTAAAAAAATTTCCGCTGCTGTTTTAATTTTTAAATAAATAAACTTAAAATTAATCCCTTTTTTAATACACAGTTTTCTGGTGTGTAATTAAAAGGTACTCGGAGTGGTAAGAAAAATCCAGTCCAATTCGATTTCCGGTTTTTCCATAAAGAGAAACTTTGCCTGGAAATGAGTAGGTTCTTTATGAAAGGTTTCAAATTCATCCACAGATACGAGAGTTTCTGTTTCAAATATATTCCACATACAGACTTATATTAAATTATTGTAAAAATAAAATATAGCGTGTGCAGAAAAAGTATTGTTTAATTAAAAGGTTTTAATGAAAAAATGCTAGTCATTCTTCTGATTTTTAAATATATAATAAATTGAATAACGATGAAATTGCTAAAATAATTTGTAAAATGTGAAGCATAATAAGTCATGCGATTAGTTTTAAGTTATAAATAAACACTTAATTTACTTTAAATTAATGTATGGAATTTCTAGATGAATTTTATGTATTCATAAAATAAAATGTACATATCTTTTCGTAGCAAATTGTATGTTCATTTGTATTTTTCAATTGATGAATTTTTATATTGCTCATTAAATCAATAAAGATCAATCAATCTTTACTGAATCAATCTTTAATCAATATTTACTATTTATTATACTTTATTCTTTTGAAAGTAATGAAAAAAAAATTTTAAACATTTGGTTTCGTAGCATTCCTAGTTTATTATTTAGGATTTTTATAATCATGCAGAAATGCTCATTAAATTTACTGAATAATTATGCACGCATAAAAATATCATGAATAAACAATATCAACCACAATATTGGATTAATAAATAATTTAATTGTATGTGCACTAGCAAATTAAATCTTACTTATATAATTAACAACAGTTTATGCGAAGTAAATTATTAGCAAACGAAAATAAGATTCGCAAATATTAAAACACATTTTTTGTGCTCGTAAATATGCAAAATATTTATTTAATCTCAAGTGTCATGATAATTTCGTGAAACTGAAAATTTAAAATATCATTAAAATCACTCTTTTTTTTAAACATAACAAATAGTTTCGGGAGTTTTCAGTCCTTTAGTGATTTCCCAGTTTGAACTGAACTGATTCAAAATTTTAGACTCAAAATTTTGAAAATATTCTTCGATTCCAGCTGTCGTAGGAGAATCAGTGATGAATAATTGAGTAATAATTGAGTATTTAGATGAGAGGTTTTGACTTGCAACTGATATTCTAAAGTACTGTTTTCTGGCATATTATGGTTCATTATTCAACATAGATGTATTTTTTTTTTAAAAAGTGGTACAGTAGAGGGAAACAAGTACGATTCTTAATAGAAGTCTTAGAATAAATTTCGATATTTTGATTTACTTTTTAAAATATTGAAATGAAAAAATTATTCTGCATTCTTTGTTAAATAATGTAATACATCATATTCATTTTAAATGAGTATATATAGTTATGTCCATTGATATATTTTGACGAACTCTGAAGGGTGTGTAATTCAAATAATTTATGCAATAAGTGTAATGTGTATACATATTACACATAATTTATTTTATAGATACGTAATGTATTATAATTTGACAAAATGTTTTTTTTATTTGTGTACTTTATTTTTTTCACGTATTTAGTTTGTTTATACGAAGTTTAGTTTGCTAAAGTTTGAAGTTCAGTTTGCTTACTGATAAACGTTTTACTTAATATAATGTGTGTAAAAAATGTGGAAGCTAATAAATCAACAAGTTGACTATTGCAAAATTTAGTTTAATACTTATAAATAAAATTAACTGGAAATTATTAAATGTATAAAACCTCACTTGGTGGGTATAAAAACCTAAACTGGCTCAACCTGAACTGGTCTGGGCCAACCTTGGCGAACGCTGTCAGTTATGCATATTATTATACTGTTGTTCAATGTAATTTTTTTCTTTTTAGTGTTTTAAACATTAAGAAATGGTGAAGTAGGTAAAGTATAATTCCTAGAATTTTTTTCCCTATTTAGATTTGAAAATCAAGCCCTATTTCGATGAAATAATGCATCTGCAGTATGCTTATTGTGTTTCTTAACTATGCAGTCAAACATAATCCAAATATCAAATTAGAAAGTATTTATAATTACCTAAAAAATAGCTTAGAAAACAAAGAATAAAGAGCACAATAAAAAGTTTAAAACAACAATATGACAAGTTCAATGACAATATGATAACAATGTTTAAAACAACAGTAAAACAACAATTGCTAAACAGCAACACAAGGAGCAGATAACTTCAGTATAGAAATGGTTATTTCGCTTTAAAGCTTTTATATTGTCTTTATTTCATTTATTTTAAGAACTACAAATATATTATTTTATATACTGCACAGTGATTTCTTTCTCTATTGTGCCATTATATTGCAGTCATTTCCCCACTATATTCTCCAATGCGGGAAATATAAATTAATTTTTAAAGTAAAACTCACATGTTCTGTTAGTTGGCCATTTGGACAATCTTTAAGAAAACCTTTGTACCTAAAAAAAGAATTACAACAAATGAGTTTCGAGTATAAAATAGTATAAATGTATTCTAACAATCATGTTAAAACATATTACTAACAAACATAACTAAATCAACGAATATGTAATAAATATATAACAAAATTCTTAGTTTTTTATTAGTTTTTTTCTGTTGTGACTTTAAAAGAATAGTTGTTAATAGGAATAATTTAAAATATTCAGAATATTGCTCTGCCTAAGTAGGAAGCAAATGAAGTTGCTGTTCACAACTGAGTGTAGCATTAAATAAAATTCAATTTGCAGCTGTCTATAATATTGAATCATAACTAATATTCCCCCATTCCAAAATGAGTTCTTGAATATAAAAAAGTTCTTTTAAACAAAGGTTTTCCAACAAAAACAATAAAAAATATTCGTTTTAACACAGTTACTACATTTTTTATATATATTAACAGTGTATACAGAAATCTTAAAATTATTATCAGTAAAAGGCAATACATTTACAAGCACATTATCAAACTTACCTATATTGCAGTAATTAATAAAAGTTGTCTGTTGCACTAAAGATTTGCTTTAACAATCCATAAAATCCATTTTTACAAGAATATGTTACAGAACAAAATATCTGATATAGTAATAATTACCATAAAATTATTGAATAACTCGAATTTAATAATACTTTAAAAATTACGGTATATCAGATATTTGCTTCGTATACAGTATTTTTTATAGCAATAATTACCATAAAATCACTGAATAACTTTAATTAACTAAATAATAATCCAAAAATTACGGTATAATAATTAATTAATAAAATTGCTTTTACGGATGATGCACCTAAAGTGCCGGTTTTTTATTCTGTAGTTCGATTCGGAATTTTTAACCGTGTAAGTTATACCCTTTTTTCCCCCTATTTAAACCATTAAATAGCTCACTGCAATATAAATTGCTTTTGAACTTACATAATTGTAGCATACATTTATATTTAACAATCTATGAATTAACAGTTTTGATCAACTATTTGTAGCAGAAATTCCAAATGTGTGGATTAATCCTATTAACTATATCTTCTCTACCAATCAATCAATTTTCTCCTGGCAGAATCCTGGGAATTCGACCAGAGGAATGTTAAATCTCCAGATAAAAGAAAAAGGAAAAGTCCCAGAAATTTATCATTCCACACAGGTTTTCTAAATCACTAAATCTCATTTCAGACACTAGATGGCGATAACGTTCTCTTTCCTGAACATAGCATAGCTACAATTCTTAGTTTCCCGGTTACGATAAAAACCCAATTTCCTTTTTACACTTTGGCTTAAACAGCTCAAACATTCACTTAACCTTGCCCTACACATAAAAAAAGGCGTGGATGCTTGGGAAAAATTCTCTATGAAAAGAAATAAGAATGCAATATTCGAAATTTACGAGTTTCTCGAGCGCTCTCTTCTTTCCATATCGAAGAATAAAGGATATTTCCTTTGTATTGAATTCTTCTCAAGAGTTGAAAGGAACCACCGTGTATTCATATTGCTTTAAATATAAAGAAAGTTTCTTGGGTGATATTTATTTTTTTATTTGGTTTTCGCATGTTTAGAAGAAAATTAAATTTTTGTACCTAGAATAAGAAAATGCGGAACGTATACAAAGAGGTAAAGTTTAATATACTTTAGATAAATTTTCTGCCATAATTCTTCAGTAAAATATCTACTGAGACAAAAGTTCACCGTTAAAATGTGTAAGTTTGTTTTTGGCTGTGTAATAAGGATAATTATATTTTCCTTTTTAAATATTTATGAGCTTTATTACTCCAATAAATGAGAAAGCTTATACCACGATCAGATACACTGAATTATTTTCGTTTCCAAAAACAATGTTAGAGCATTTTGGATATCATCCTAATATGTTTACATCGAGTAAGAGTAGTCAGTGTTTGTTGTTTTCTCCCTAAAATCTGTCCTATCTTTTCTTCAATAAAATATCTGATGAGAGAAAAGTTCACCGTTAAAGTGTGAAAGTTTGTTTTTGGTTGTGTAATAAGGATAATTATATTTTCCTTTCTAAATATCTCTGAGATTTATTAAATTCTTTACTTATGCATTCTAGTTTTTGTTAAGCACAGTTCAAATTCATGTTAATATTTTCTTTGTGCAATATGTCAGTTATTTTAGCAAATTACTTTAAAATATATTGTATATATTATCTTAAACTTATGATTCTCGCTGCTTTATATTGAAACAAAAACTGCTTACAGCAATTTTAAATTTGATTGCTACTGAAAAACAAACATAGCGGCTTCCTTACACCAAGTAGTCCTAAAGAACATTCTGGTATTTAATTAGATCAGGTACTATCCTTGACTTTTGGTGTTGAAAAATACTTAATAAAACAGTATTTTGGTGTAAAGTAATTGCCACCATTCTAGGTGTTTAGATACATAAAAAGTTTTTTATAGTGTTGTAGTTAGAGTGAAGTCCTCAAGCATTACTGAAGTTTGCTCATATTGTGGATTTGAAAAGCAGACATTCTAAATTTCATATTTGAAAAATTTATGATATCTGCTAAATTTTTAGTAATATGTCAGCATGAATAGTAATATTTTTCAAGTACTGCTATGCACTGTTTTTTTTTCAAGTACTGCTATGAATCAACAGAAACAAAAGTTCGCCGTTTAATTATGCATGTTTTAGTCGCATAATAACTATATTTACATTTTGACTGCTAAGTCTCTGTAAACTGTATTTACTTATTTTACAATGTAAAATTTCGATGCACTACAACTCTGCTAAGCCTAGTTTGAATTTCATCTCAATAATTTCATCTCAAAATCATCTCTTTGTGTTACGAGCATGTTTGATTTGCAAAGTAATTTTATTTTAAGAATAAGTGTATGTTATGCACCCTAAATTATTAATTCTTTCTTTAAATTTTCTAATAAAAATGACTTTTCTTACTCTTATGCGTATCTTACCTAGTTGTATTTATAATTATTATTGTTTAGAAGCACCAAAAATGGTATTGCTTTACACCAAGTAGTGTGAACGAACAATCTTGGTGTTCCAGTACGTATTTAACGGAAAATTACGTTTGTAACTTAATATAAGTAGATAATGAAACTATTTAAAATAGTAGACTAATGATTTAAATTAAAGCTAAATGTTTGTAGAAAACAATACAATACTTTTTTTTTTACGATACAATATTTTTTTTTAAATTACTTCAGTATAAAAATGTTTATTAGAACTTTTTCAGTAAAAACACTTTTCAAACATTTCCATTTCAAAACCAGTTATCAATATACGTAAGGCACGAAACTGGAGTAATATATCCCCAGTTATAGCTACACTATTAAAACTGTATTGTAATATCTCTCTGAAACATATGTTGAACAATCTAAAAAATGTGTGAAGGAAGGCTTATTCCGGGTTCAAACCAAGAGCTCATGTACGATTAAAAGAAGATAATTTAAATCTAAACACTTACAATAGAATTAGCGTACACCGTATTCTCACTTATTCACCCAAAGCGAGAATTATTTTCCCATCCGAAAACACACATGTTTTTTATCCCCAGAAGCCAGCGTTTGTAATCACGAATTAGACTTTGTTGTTGTTACTGATTTATGATGATTTGATTGAATGATTTGTTGTTCGTCGCTTAAATATGTACGTAAGTTTTAAATTGCGTAATAATTATTTTATCTTGTAAGTTTTTGAGATCTGTATTAAAGGATTTTAACGTGCATAATTTTTATGAGCGTCCGTATTGCTAAGCCTTGTTCAAGTTCGTCCTTATGTCATTTTTGTGCTACTTGTAAACTACTACAATCAAATTTTGTTGCGAAAATTAATGTAAATACTGTCGATTGCTACTTTATATTGTATCTGAATTGGCTCTAATGTGTATCTTTATCTTACTATAATTATAAATGCCAGTTTTCATTTTTTGGCATTATTCATGTTTTGGTGTTAAGATACATGAAAATGTTTTAGGGTGTAAACGTGGATTAGTGTTCTCTTGCAATTAGGCAAACCTCGCATTGTGAAAAATTTTGCTTTATAGTCGCCACGATTTTCGATTTTGGGAGGCTAACTTTTTTTACAGTACCTTTAGCAACATTTTCAATTACTTTTACCCTAGAATAGTTTATTTAGTAAATGTTTATCTTATTTTTTTTTCTTTTTGCTTATTCACTGACTACATATTTTTAATCAAATCAATTTATGACTTCCTTGCTAAATTTCTTCGTTAAAAAACACTATTTGATAACGTATTCCCACTACCTCTTGCAAACAATTGTTATTTCGCTAATTTTGTAAAATTTTTGCACGATAACTGCATTTCTGTTTGTTTTCAAAAAAAGGATTTCGTTAACCTCAACAACAAAATGCTGGTAACTGTTTGCACCAAAATTTTTTATAGTGAACTGTGAAAAGTAGGATATAATACCTATCTGAATTCGGTGATAAAAAAATCTCTAAACATTGTGCGATATTTGCAGCTAATATCGAATAATATAAATAACTAGTATGAAGTTTATACCGTTCATACTAATTTTATATTATTTTCACCAATGGCAGCGTTATTTTTTTAAAACGTCAAACAAACTATATATATATATACCTACACATAAAAAAAGGCGTGGANATATATATATATATATATATATATATATATATATATATATATATATATATATTAGTGTGTGTGTGTATGTAAATCGGAACTGAATAACTTTTGATCGTATCTTCACGGTTTAGGAGGTAATTTTTATGGTTAGAGAAGATTACCTCAATTATGCTGATTAATTAGGGCACACGATATTTTAAGTTAGGAAATAAGACACATAAACTTACTTTCTCTGACTAGACATATATTTTTTTCGAGAGATTTGGATTTCTGATCCCCAAAACACTGCAATCTGGGTAAGCTGCAATCTGGGAAATTTGACCCCCATAGTTTAAGCAGGAGAGAGATCCAAAGTTTCGACCTCATATTTTTGATTTTACTTTTTGCGT